TGTGTCTGTAGTACCCAAGGCTTCGAAGGCTTTGCCTGGTTGCCGATCTCTTTCAGCTCTTTCTGCTTAACTTAAATCTCCTCACTTTATTGCCAAGCATACCTTTGGGGTAGAGCCAATCATCCAAAACCCCAAATCCCAGGACCAATTCAAAACACACACCACCAATCTCCAGATACAACCAACATTCTAAGTTTAACTACTTTCTGGGAGGAAGGATTTTGTGAAATCCAAATCCACAGAACATGGGAGACTTCAAAGGACTGTTGTTGGTTCTAAGAGGCTTTTAGTGTGCTACCAGAGCTTCTGCACCACAGTGTCAACCTCCAGATCCGTCCTTTTAGTTCTGTAGCTCTCTGAGGACATCACCTTCAACTGAGCGCAGGTTGACCACGAAGTTTACTTTTCTCTTGATATTTTTCCTGGGGAGAAATTTCTTACCTTCACTTTTGTCCCCACCTTAATTTCAACTACTTCACAGCCTCTTTTCTCACTTCCATCCTCAGCTTTTCACTTCTCCTAAGAGTTGCTCAAAAGAGAAATAAGCGCCTTTTACTCTAGACCCCAGCTATCTACCACATTTCACGTTGCACAGCTGAGGGCAGGGCATTTGACTCAACAAAAATGAATTTTGTCATGTTTTTCTCAACTGTTAGATATAGGTAGAAAAAAAAAAGAGAAGACAAAGAAGCCTTCGGGGGAGAAAACTATTTTATTCTCTGCCCATTTTTGTGTATCACTATCAGTAAAAATCCTACATAGTTGTGCTTGTTTTTCAGGATGAAGATAAAGTAGAACCTGTACTTTATAGACTGGGAAGAAGGCAAACTCTAGTCACAAACATACTTCAGAGGTAGTGGATCATGGATAGACCAGGCCTGGAGATGATAGATTAAAAAGAGAGCTCCTTTAAGATGGGGAAATGCCCCCCAGAGAATTATGCTGGCAAAGTCTTGACCCCAATTGCTAATACCCACTAACCTCTATTGACTACTTACTTTTTTGTGCCGGGTATGTGCTTGAGCAAAACTGCTAAGCAATTTGCTAACAGTAATCACAAGCAAATTTGCCTCGTTATCATCATTCTCACCTTCTCATGGAGAAACCATGTCATAGGAAGATTCAGAAACTTGCCTAGCCAGTAACTCAGCTAGGAATAGATAGATCTAATATCTGGTCACAGACCATCTAGCCCAAGCCCTGGGGCTCTTGACCACAGTGCTAAAATGAGCTGCCAACATGGAGCTTTGTTCTAATGGTCCTCTGGATGGAATACTTCTTTGTCTTTATCCTAACAACTGCACTGTAGTTTCTGCCCAGGTAATTCTGATGCATACCGTGGATAAACCATGGTGTGAGGAACATTGGCTAGATTTTTGAAAGCAGATGAAGTCAGCATTGAAATGAATTCAGACATTTTAAGGTGTTTTTTTCTTTTCTTTTTTTTTTTTTTTGTAGAAACACATCTGCCTTGTCACAGCTGCAGAACTAAGCAACCTTTCTGATCCACTCTGTGCTAAATTGTCCAGTGGCTCAGTGCAGGATGGCAAGGACAAATGTCATGGTTGCCAGGCAGCAAATTGACAAGAATCTAATTTAAACACATCCAGCTCAAAAATTTTTTAAGTTGTCTCTTACACCACTCTACAAAAGCAATTCTGAGCCTCTTGTAACAGGCAGTAGACATTCTTTCCTTTGAATTTTAATCTTGAATGACTTCATGATTTTTAATGAGAGTTAAATAAAATGAACTGTCTCCTTTTTCTGTTTTATCTCTTATTCATTCTCTAGCTATTAAATGGAAGGTTGAGTATTTCCCACACAAAGCATAGGCTTATTTCAAATCTACCAGAGCACTTCATGGTTATTAACAACCAGCCATAGGTGAGCAAACATTATATATATAGAAATATTTTTGAGAAGCCTGTGATACAAGTATTACTGTATCATTGTACAACCTAGAATACAAGCTCTAAATGATTAATTAACTGTCCCAATTTAACAAAAAGCAAAATTAAACCTCTGTTCTTTTATCCACTTTATTGTCTCTGATCGTTTGCTAAATCCCTTAA